TTATTTTTCTTCCTACTATTTATTTTATTTGGGACACCACACAAACAGCTGTCTGTTAGTATACCTACAGTAGCCCATCCCTCCTTGCCTTCTATAGTTTACCTCTGCCTTTATTCATGTGTCTAATCTTAAAACCATTTTCATCACAAGTACTGTATGTGTCCTAAAAACACCCAAATAAAAACTTGGTTTAGAAACGTTTCACTCAATACTACATTGCTCCTCGGTGCATCAACAGAAAGGACACACACTTTGGCATCTCTTTCTGATCACATACATCAGCATACATCAGGTGCCCCAATTCTATCAGAGCAACAAGAAATCTTTTTGACCATTGATGTTAAATGGTGACCTTATTATGAATAATCAAAAGTGTCTGGCAAATATACATTGGCAGTTAAAAATGGACTTGGGCAGTCTGACCAGGTATGGGCCAGGTATATTTGTAGATGCAAAATAAACTGCAGGCAACTTCACTGATGCAGCTTCAGTGGTAACAGTAAGGATGTCTCTTTTGTTCCTCTAACAGTAGAGTAGCTTAGCCATAAACATCATAATCAAGAACAAGTTAAGGGAGTACGCTCCAACCATGCTTCAGTAAATAAACTGTTTTAGGAGTGGACAGTGTCAGTTGTGTACCACAGGACTCATCTAAAGGTAAATAGCCTAAAGGCAGGCTGAATAAACAAACTCTCCTTAACTCTGGGAAAACATCCGGAGAGCTCATTTTACTGTAGTTCCTGTCATGTGTTCCCTACATTTACAAAAGCATTTAGTGTTGGTTATCAGGAGGTTGTTTGTAGTTAAGCCTCTGAGAGAAGTTCATTTTGGCTGTCTGTGGTTCAAACATTGATTCAGTCTTGATTGCCCTGTGTGCATGAGTGTAACAGATTTCCCAGTCCTATAGATAATGTCATTCTCTATCAGCCCGCCCCAGCAGGATGCAATACACTCAGTCCACTGCGGTTGAGAGAAATGTGAGAGGAAGACATTAATGCTCTGGTTGGCTGCTGCTTTGCCCCCCAACATACATGCTCTAACTATGTAGCTTTTGCTTTGGATGGTCAGGTTGAGTGGCTCAGTCAATAATAAAGATGATATTGTGTCAAAGTTTCATTCTGATTATGATACCTCTTTGAGTGTTGCCCCTTTTCGAGTACACCTGCAAGCAGAATAAAACAAAAGTGTATTATGAGGGACCTGATATAGTGCTTGCTTTCACTGATATTGCACTCCTATGTTCTTTTCACACAATAATAAAACTAACATTTGTTGATTTGGGGAAGTATTGTTTCTTTTAGATGGTGATAAATGACATGCTGATGCCAAAACCTGAGCAGTACTCAAGGTCAGTACAGTGTCAGCCCAATTTAAAAAAAAACTCTATTGCTGACTCCCCCTGGGTATTGATGGCTTAAACTGAAATGCTGAAAACAAAAGGATAACATTGCACTGCTTTGTTACAGGTTGCAAGGCCAGAGAGTGGAGGGAGAATGAATTTTTCAGCTGCTCATTTAAGAAGAACTAAAAACAGAATGGATTGTGAAACCCAGAGGGCCAAAAGGGAATATTTCAACTCTAAATTAACCATAAGTCACCATTCAAATGCAGCTAATGTTCTGTGAATGTCTGATAATGTTACAAGATATATCAGAAAATGTGTACATTTATTTTTCAAACCGTCATTTGAGATCTGTTCAGCAGCTCTGTTAGTTCCAATAAAAAATCAAGTTGTCATTCTGGAGGAAACTGTGTGCTTTGAGTATTTTCACTTCACACGCAACACGCCACTCCAGTCTTTGAAAAGCTCTGTGTTGGATTTAATTGGATGTCATTAGTCATCTGTTGTAGTGAGCCCAATAACGTTGCACAAAGGATTTGACTTGTCAACTACAATTCTGACAATGGATTAAAAGACAGTTTACAGTAAATTGCAAGCTTGTTTGCATCAAGTGAATTCTAGTTCTAGTCGCTACTAACATTTCAATGACATGCACCAATATTAAAAAAAATCTTTGTAAAGCTAGCTGGGGAGTGATTTCACCTAAACTAAGCTGTTAGTTTTTAGTAGATGGGGGTAATCAAATCAAATGTATTCATCTCAAACTTCTGTTGACAGTGTCCAGTGTCCGTGGTCGGACATGGTCAGACATTCCTAAGTCCAGCTGTCTTTTGCTTCATTGGTTGCTCAACAATTGGGATGCAGTGACCTAAAATACAGCTGAACAAAGCTATGAGTTTGTGAACAACATGTAAGCATCCCACTGTAAGATGGATGCCACAAGAAAATATGAATGTGGGGAATGATTCGGTTTGCTCCCTAATACAAGTAATTTCAACTTACTGATAACTGTCTTCCTGGTGTAGGCCCACGGTGACTGTATATTTTATCTACAGGAATATACTTCCTTCTTTAACTGCATGCACTTCTCCATGATTTGGGTCTGTTTATTCAGGTCCGGAGTGGCTAATCAGGAGGATCAGGAAGATTCCCTGTAAGCTCATCTAGTTGTGGGGTCTTGAGAGCTGGTTGATAGGAACAGTAAAAAGATTACACAGGCTGCATTCACCAGGAATTGGTGCAACTACAGATGTTTATGTCCTGTATCAGCTTAACAGTAGGGTTGTCAGAGGGGGTCCATGTCTACCTGAAAAGACAAGCTTTACACTGCTTCTGAAATTATTTGTGTTCCTTGACAATGATTGATCCCTCTGTTCCAAGAAAGTCAAGAGGATTGGCCAAATAAAAAGAGCAAAGGTGGCACTGAAAAAGTCAGAGTAAAGACAAGCTTTAGCGGCAAAATGCGTTCTCATTTTGTACCTACAATAAATCACCTCACTGTGTTTTAGCCCTGCTTCTGCAGCTAATTGGATTTCACAGCGATGTAATTATTAAATATGTATATTTTTTATATGTGTAAAAACAAATTGTCATCCACATGACGTCTATGAATCTGTAGGAAGCATGCTGCAGTGACTCGTTGGCCTTTTAATTGATTTGCACGTGTTTACAAGAGAGTGAGCTCATGCTGTGTGAGCACTTTGCTTCATATGGAGACTAATGATGTTGAGGTGTTGCAGAGTGGAGCCCCTGATGTCACTGTAATCCTGCTGATTACAGAGCTCTGGACACACACTTCAATCACCTCGAAGGTGGCCTTAGTAACCTTGCACCGTGAACAGTCTAGTGCATGTGGGCATCTGTATCTGAGAAAAAAAGACACACAGCAGGCAAGGACAAACCTAAAAATAATAGTGGAAGCCTGGGGTGAACCAAATGTACAATAATTGTACATGTGGCTTTTCCTAATTGAATACAAAATCTCTGTAAGAGTGACAGTTTGAAGTCACTGCAAAAAAGGGGGTCTAAAAACAAGATAAAAACACTAAATCTGAGGGAAAAGGTAATAAAAATAAGTGAAATTATCTGTCCATGCAGCAAGATAATTTTACTTGACAAGATTTCTTCAATTAAGATTGTTGAATTTAGAAATAAGCATGTCTACAAATATATTTTGAAGGCTTAAAATAAGCCAAAAATGCTGGTTTTAAAATCAGATTACTTGAAATTTAACTTTTAAAGCCCCCCCAAAAAGTGAAATGTACTAAATATAGGTATGAGGTAAGGAGAAAATGCTGGTTTTAAGATGAGATAACTTAAAAATCAACTTTTTAAGGGCCTCAAAATAAGTGAAATATACTGAATGTAAGCAATTACATATTTTGTTTTCTTATTTTTAGCAAATTAAGCTGAAGATTAGTTTAACAAATATATATATATATATATATATATATATATATATATATATAATGACTAAACTCTGTCTCAATCTAAGCATATTCTTATCTTGAAACAAGGTTTACTTAATCTTAAAACAAGATTCCTTTTGATGAGATTTTGGGAGAAAGATGGAATATCACTTATTTTAGAGGTTATTTTCCTCATTTTAAGATTTTCTGCCTATTTGAGACAAAAAAAAAAGATATGATTGTGCTTGATATAAGATTATAGTGTAAAGTTAAACACTTAAAATAAGAAGTTAAGTCTTAAAACAAGAGAAATTATCGAACACTTCTAAATCAATTTTTTTTTTTTGTCTTGATAAGAACCAAATCATTTGCAGTGCAGTGGCCGTTTTGGCTGTTCTTTCAGGACACTGCATCACTCTGTACAGGCGGGGAGATGGTATGGTCCATGTTTAGGAAGGTTTGAGCTCCTGTTGTGCCTCTCATGATGTTCCTAATACTCTGGAGCCCCACAGGTATGAGCTTCAAACGTGCACAAGACAGACCAGAGACTGGGAGTAATCACAGCGGGCGCCACACACCTCAGGAAGGTAGCAATTTTCCATCATTACTGTTAAATCCTGTTCAAAAGAACCGGATTCCACAGACCTAATTACAAGGTGTTAATAATAACAATGTAATGACAGTCAATTGAAAGCCTGCCTTGAACCATGATCCTTCCCTCATCTGACTCTCACGTTTAAGTGTGTACTCCCTGTGCTTTGAGTGATGCTTATCAATTACCATTGTGATTACGACCACAATTGGTGCGTGAGGTCCCGCGAGTTTGGGCTTGAATTATTTGGCTCGGTAAGCTTCTGAAAAGTGGAAATGCTCTCAGACTGATGTTTTTATTCTGGTGCTGCTCATGCTCAGAGACACAGCCTGGACCCACTGCTGTGGAGGTGCAAGACGGAGTACAGTTTAACAGCCAGTTGTGTGAGTTTTGAGGGTATTTTTTCTTCTAAAAGTTAGGGATTCATTGATTTAAATCACAGAGCAGGGCTATCACCATTGGAGTGTAACTGCAGGCTTACTGCTCAACTCAACTCAACATCCTCCCTGCATTATTACTGCTGGATGAAGTTGGAGCAGTGATGACCCTTGTTTGGGGTGTGGCACCACAATGACGCTTTCTAGAAAACCGTCCAATCACAAGTCTTTTCAAACCCCTTAATCAGTACGCATCATTGGCCCAAAGTCGAAAAGTACCTCCCAAAGTTTTCCTGACACGAATTTTGACAACTTTTTCAAGACTTTACATAACATTTCTCCCCGCATGAGTCAACGTGTAGACGCTGCTCCGTCTGAAAAAGTGATGCGCTCTCCAGTTTGGGATTAGAAATCACTTGATCATCAAAACAAGCATGTCTGTCTCTGGCGACTGGAGAGAAAAGTTTGGGGATGCGGATCAACCGCAGCTGAGGACGCGCACAGCGCAGGTCTGTCTGCCCTTCAGCGTGGAGGCGCTTATGTCCAGCAGCAGCAGACAACAGAGATTGACGGACGGACAGGAGGGTAAGGGTCGATTTTTGGAGGACCACGAGGATCGCAGGTCGGACAACTTTTCCACTAGATTAATATCGATCAAATCAGAGCCACCGGGACAAGAGGACCGTGCGCCTTGGAAATCCAGTTCTGCAAAGGAGATATTAGTGCCTCCACGTAAGTGTCATGTGCATTTTATAGAGGCGGGTTTACAAAAAATTAATGTTGGCAGGAAGTGATTAAAGTGTTGACGTGTCTGAAATGATCGAAAAGCCCAATAGAAAGTATATTAGAAATCACAGTGTTAGGATGAATGTTTTCTGTAGGTGCCAAATAAAATCAAAAAGAGAGAGAACTTAACCTGATCAATGTGCATATTAATGTAAACTTTTGCTCTTGCCATGCAAGAACAAACAGTCATGTCTCATGTCATTCACAATATTTCAACATTTTTCTGTTTGGGACAACACTTGGCCTCTGTTTTATGAAAATGATTATTTTTCTTTTTCATTAACCTTTAAAACCACAAAGTTTGCTTTTGTATTGGTGCATATAGGACTTGCAGAGGACAATCATTTGAACTACAGCAGATAAAAAATCATATTAATTTTCATTAAATTCATGAATCATTATCAAACTTGTTTCCGGGTAATTTTATATCCAAGGACCAAATGATTAATTAGCTCTGCTCCAGTGATATTGAAATAACATTAACTAAATAGAAAATAAGCTTTGGGCTGTACTTCTTACTCAACCAAGTTTGTCATGTTTCTTTTGTTTTTTAGGGCAGTGGAGTCCAGCGGCGTGTCCATTGAGGAAGCATAAAACCAACCGCAAGCCTCGCACCCCTTTCACCACCACACAACTGCTGGCCCTGGAGAGAAAGTTTCATCAGAAGCAGTACCTGTCCATCGCAGAACGGGCTGAATTCTCCTCATCCCTGACTCTGTCTGAGACCCAGGTCAAGATCTGGTTCCAAAACCGTAGAGCTAAAGCCAGGAGGCTCCGGGAGGCGGAGGTGGAGAGAGTCAAAATAGCTGCCGGGCCCAAAGCTGTGTTCAACCCAGGCTTCTCATCCTTCACTTTCCCCTTCAATCTTAACCTGCAGGTGGGACCAACAGCGCTCTATGGACTGGGCTGTGGCCCCATTTTCCCCTCTACACATCTGGCGATGTACGCTTCTCAGGTCGGCCTGTTCCACCTCTCCTGAGAGGGACCAGCAAGTTAACAAAGTGCTGTTGATATGGATGGATGTCTTTAAAAGAAGCAGCAGCGTAGCATATGTGTTACACCGTTTACAAGACTAGATTTGGGACTCTGAAGGGGGACTGAAGATTTATGATTTAACTTGGTCTGAACTCGCAAGCAGGTTTTAGCAACTTCCTTATGATTTTTGCAGAGAATCTATTGAAGACAAACAAACAAAAATTTTTAATGCTGATTTGACAGGAGTGACCAAACAAAGGTGTTTATCGCAGAAGTGTCCTGAATACCAAAACTATTGATATAAACTTTTATTCATGAAGCTTTGTGCAAAATCATGTGGTTGCATGTGAAATATGTGTGATGCATGTTTTTGCACATGAAAAATAAAACTTTAGATCATTTATGTACATACAGATTATAAGTCTTCAACATGCTCCATATTTTTGCATCGTGGGAGGAACACACAAAATTCATGTTTTTAGTTCACAACAGCTTTGCTCTGTCATTTTTTTTACTTGAATTGTACTTGTAGTTCCAGCACTATTTTATTTTTTACAAACACAGCAGTCTTGAATATAAAGGGACATTTTATATAGCCATCCTCTTCGACTAATGAGAGGCTTCAATGGAGAAATGACACGTGCAAGCTTAGTAACAAGTCAAAGCATCCCTGAAATGACATCTATTTACAGTAGCTGAAGATCCATTTATATTGTGTTTCATATTTACTTATTTAAAATAATGTTTTTTTTTTACTTACATTAAAAGTTTTTGGCTGATTTTTTTCTTTGCTTGTTTGTAACTTGAATTCATGCTAGTTGTTCTCTTCATTATTATGATGGCACCATATCCTTCACGGTGATTACTCTGGTTATACTGTAATACTGGATATGCACTCCTTACATCAACTGCAGTTTGTTACATCAACTGTTTTTAGTTTTAATGTTTAAATCCAAGGTGATAATAATGACAGCAGATACTTTGTGCCTCGAGACAGCGCATAGCAGTTTTAAATGTCTAACAAATAAACATAACATATTGCTGGAGCAGCTTAAGCTGGGCAGCTGTACCCTGCTCAATTAAACATTTGTTGTGAGGGAAACAATCTACACATTAAATCACACACGGGTTAATCTGATTATTTATTAAAGGAATCCCTTAAAACCATAATATCCATTAATGGAGGTACCTTTGAAATAAGGAGGCTGTGCGTGACGAACTCAAACATAATAGTTGAACCATTGAGCTTTGTAATCTTCTTTAGAGCTTTGTACTGGATATTGAAAGGTATAATACCATAGGGACTTCTGCAGCTCACATGTACCAGGGTTCCAGAGTATGTATGGGTGGACACCAAACTGGGTGGCCTAAGCAAGGAGCTGTGTTTCACTTTAATGAATATTTATTCGGCCACATTTCCTGTAAAAATGGTAAATTATGTCTGTAAAAGGAGTTTACTGCAGAAAGCACACACACTACTTAAATTGTAGAGTATAGAGTATGTGCTCTTACATTATCTTGAGTTTCGCATGGTTGTGTTTCATTTGTGAGAGACAAGCTGTATTTTTAAACTGTACTTAAAATGAACTTAGTCTCTCTTTGAACTCCATAACACAGTATTAAACTGCCCCGTCCCTTTGCTGTGCCTTGTTAAATTGTCCTTGTCCCTGAATTTTGACTCCAAAACTCTGTGAAATGATGTGTAGACTCAGTGATAAGAGTTTCATTCAGTCTCTCCTTCTCTCTCTCTCTCTCTCTCTCTCTCTCTCTCTCTCTCTCTCTCTCTTGTTCTTTCTGTTAACTTTGGGAAAGCTTGTTACCATTAGCACATATTTCACAGCCCATTTGCTCCCCTACATTTTGGAATTAACTCAGCATTAAGCTGATAGAGAGGTCTCTAATGGCTTTGATTGCCCAATAACACCAGCCTCAGGGTTCAGATGTTTTTAAAGTGAAATCTTAGTGGAGGAGGTGATTGCAGCCCAAAGTGGTGCAGTGGACCTCAAATAGAGGAAGAGAGAAGTTGGATCTTATCGTTAATTAGCCTGGAAAGGATATATAAAAGTATTGACTGAGCTAGTTTCAGATTCAGAGAAAGAATAGTTGCTGACAAGTAAGGTCATGTTAGTTTTTTATTCCCAGCCAAGAAAGGACAACAGACACAGGAGTGGTCATAGAGGCTTTATTTGACTGTGTTTAGTTTGCACACATAGTTGTTGACTTATTTATAACCCTGAAGAGGTAACCCTCTTATATTCTCACAACGGCTTTTTCTATATTTTCGCCATTTGAGGGATTTTTCCTCCCCATACTAGCCTTAATGTGGTTCAATCCCAGCTCATATCCACTGAAGGTGGTGGTGTCAAAGTTAAGAACACGACTTTGCAACTACTAATGCCTTTTTCAGGAGGACATCATCACTAGCCATGTTTACATGTGCAAAATGTATTGATCTTTGAGGGATTGGATTATCTGAACCTTTTGTTAATATGGGTGCAAAATCAAATAATCTGATCATGACGTGTGTTTACATGCAGAGTTGTCTGATTTCGCTTAAACAACCGCAGAAGAAGAAGAGTTGTATTTATGCCTCTGCTGTCAACAAACCAACAAACGCGGTAGTGGCTCACTCCATCCAATTCAGGAGTTTTCCCCCCTGTTAAATGTTGTCACTAGATGGCGCCCTTGCATACTTATTTTACTGTTCTGTCAAACTGCGTGCAAATGTGACATCATTACGCTGTATACGCCTTTTTATGTTACTGGAAGAGGAGACACGGCATCTAAAACCTCCTGTACTGGCCTTAATAAATAAACCAAAGGCTAAAGAGTGAAGATCGAGTCAGGTAAGAGAGTCACGATCGGAATAAGTGTTTACATGGACGCGTTTCGGAGTAACGATTGACATAAACCACCCCTCTCGATCTGAATATGGTTTCTGTCCGATTGAGTCGAAATGGATCAGAATCTTCCGATCCACATTTTTACATGATGCGTTTTTATTCCGATTGGGCATTTATTCTGATCATTTGTGCCCATGTAAACACAGTTATCAGGTATGAGGTGCAAAAGTCAACCACTGCTCTCCAGTCAGGCCCCTGATTTCGCCACAATAAGCATTGAAAATAACCTAAGTTGCCTGAGGAGAAAGCTCAAAGGATAATGTATTTACTCGTGAGAGACTGAGGCCCTTTCTAAGGACAGCTGCTTGTTCAAGAGTTCATTAAAGGCAAAGAAATGAGGAGAAGAGAGTTCTTCCATTCTTCGGCTGATTGTCTTCATTCAAGGATTTGTGTGAACATTTGTTGTACATCTGTGTGCCAATACAATTTCCACTAATGCAGCATTTTATTTGCCATTATTTACCTGAAAGATGCATCTAAGCAAAGCCTTCATACTTTTATGAAAATGGTAGGATTATTAAAGAGAGGTTATTGGTGTTAGTTTGGGTGTGAGCACACACCTTCTGTCCAGCCTGCATGTGTATGTAGATGTGAGTAGTGTGAGCTGGTGTCCATGATGTCATCCAGGACGGTCCTGTCTCTCTCACGTGCGGTGGAGATGCACTCGTGTGAAAGTTGAACCAGAGTTCATCATGGATGGGCTGTCTGAAGCTGCCCTGAAGTTGATAAAGTTCATTGCAGATGTCGGTGCAGGTTGTCCTCGGGTGCTCTCTTTGTGAGGCCCCACAGCTCTGTGATCTTGATAGGTGCTGAGACATGCTGTTAACTCTGTCCGTCTCAGGGAAAGTAGAAGATGTGCGCAACATCTCTTTTCTTGCCTTGCAGAGTGTCTCAAAGCCTAACTGCAGGGTCTGCGGTGTACATGTTGACAGTCTCTGATGCTCACTTTGAGAAAGCTCCCAGACTTTTCAACACTTTTGCTTAGAGTCCTTTCATGAACACTAACTTAACCTTTGGCTGAACTTAGAACAACTATAGCACCTTTTTTTTCTGAATTTCTTACACTATCACTTTAGAGTTCATCTTGTTCAAGGCCAGTATAGATGAAAAGCACCAACATTTTGCTGTTTCTGCATATTTCAACATTTAATGATCCAAAACTTGCTTGTAAAAGATCCTTTAAAGATCTGCGTCATGCTTTAATGTTCACTGTTGCTTTGTATTAAAATTTTTAGTTGTCTCTGATAAGTTATCTGGTGAAAAGCATGCATGAATGTGATTTCATAAGTTTTGATCCACAGCTCTGGGTCCTGCTGCTCTGTCATGAATCCACTAGGTGTAGCAGCTCCCCATTTTTTTTCTGTGCACTGATTTCACAGAGGCCACACAATTTTGACTGCCCTCATATTAGTAGTATTTTTGGCATCACAAAAAAACATTTCTAAACATCCCAGTTGACAACATATCATTGTAAATAGGGAGTCCATAACTTGCAGCCTGTTAGATAATGTCTGTTTAATTCCTCATGAGTGGGTTAGTAAATAAAAGATGACACTGGTGTTGTTCCACAGTGCCAGAGATGGATTGCATGAGTCTGGGGATTGGGGATTTCTCGAGTTCAGTGTTGCAGGAAAAGAAAAATTGAAATCCTTTCCTTCCATCATTGTATAGAATTAAAGTCTGAATAAGATTAAAACTGATTAAGAGTAAGTGCAGTTTAATATTGAGTAGCTCTCCTCCCCTCTCTCCTCCTGTCTTTATTGTGATAATTGCAGATATTCATAATAATACACAGACATCTTATTACTTTCTATCACACTGGCATCTCATTAAACACGACTGCACACAGTTTATGAATCTGTTTAATCTGTTCTGATTATTATGGCCAAACAAAGCAGTCATAGCTGTTGTGTTACAAAGAAAAGCAAGAGCCAGTTTGGGATTTCTCGCTGCCCCTCTCCTCTCCTGTCCCAGCCTGTTAGGCAAAACTGAGATTCAGAGGAACATTTTCGTCATCTAACCACACGCAGGAGCAGTGCTGAGATCCAGTATGTGCATCACTGCACTGCAGTAAACCACACAACTTTTGAGGATCGCCTCTTAAAAGGGTGGCAGAAATATGACAGATAAAAGCATGGTGGCGCAAAGTGAGAGTATTTCTTTTTTTTTTTACTGCACACTTCCAAGGCCAGAGGAGTAAAGCACTGACATTTGTGTTGTTCTGAGTGCTGTAATCAGAGGACGTGCTTTCATCTCGCCTTCAAAGCTGTGAGCAGGTGTGTTTCCTCAAACAATCCCTGCTCTATCCTCCATCTTTGTCGTGGATTTCTGTGTCCCATATTTCTGCAAACCTTGTTTATCTCCGCCGTTCGGCCTGTTTTCTCAATTTCTAATGGTCCCTGGAGAGTAGAAGAGACTTTCAACAAGCTTGATATAATTTGCACCAAGCACATCTGTTGTATTTTGCTGTTATGCTGATTTGTGCTCTGTTTATGACAACACAAAGGCGTCCTGCACAATCTGTAGCTTAGGTAACAAGTTGACAGTCTCCTCACTGAGAGAATCTGATCCGAGCTGAAACATGCATGCTCAAGCCCACAGAAAGAGAGGCTGACCTCACCCCCCGTGCTCAGAGGAATCCCACCTCTAGCAGTTTCTGTCTTTTGTTCCGTTTCTTTTAGCTGGTTTTCAAGAGACATATCTCTCCGTCAGGACGGCCGAACAGCATGACCTATTTAAACATAAAGACACGCCTAAAAGCTCTTCCTCTGAAGTTAAAAAAGAGAGAG